GCATCAATACGTTATGCCTGTTATCATTGTTGGTTATGATGAATATTCGCATATGAAGTCTGTTTCAGGTTCGGTTTTACAGATGTTTCCGAGCAGCAGCATAAGCCGATTGAAATATGAAATCTATGTGTCATATTCATCTAGAGATGTAAGCAGATCACCCGCAACGCCGTCAATATAGTAATCAACCAAAAAACTAAGTACTCGACTTTTGAAATTCCTCTATCTCCTGTTCTAGTTTCGGCAAGATATTTCTCTTGTTTCTTAGCAATCTGTCCTACATCATCCTATTCTTCAATTTTCCAAATCAAGAAGACTTCTTCTCACATAGGAAAAAAGTGAATGCTCCAGCGAACTAAATTTTCAGCATTCATTCGATTTTAACGATCTTTTCAATATGATGTTTATCATACTTAGTCTATACGTTTTTCGCTACATTAGATACTTGTGAATGAAGAATCATGAAGAAAAAATGGAATGAAAATAATGCAACGAACAGTATCGAATTGATTTTTAAGGTCTTTCGATTGATTCAAACTCGTCAACATGATAGAAGAAAATAGACAGCCAGTCGTAAAAAGCTTTCGATGAGATGTCAACACATTGAAAGAAAGAAGCGAATAAAGAAAAATGCAGTCTTACTTTTCTTCACCTGTCCTTTGTTTACATATTCTATCCTCGCAAATGATGGTATCAATAATAAAACTGCATTAATGTATGTTTTTGTTTTGTTGGCTCGTTCGTTGTTAATCTACTTTTGTTTGTTGATCTTTCTTGTTTGTCATAGTTACATTTTCAGAAGAAACCTAACAGAATCATGAAATCAATGTTACAGCCAATTTTGTTTCTATTCGCGGAACAAAGTTCTGTGTTTGTGCAAAGACATGTGACATGCACAACAATCATAGTGTTTTTTTACTTATATCTTCAATATTACTGTCGATTTTAGTTAAAAAAATAACTGCAATAATTTTCATTATTTGTTAGCTGTATGCAAACATAGATAACTCTCCTAATAGACATTTTCTCGTTGTCATTGTGATGCACGCTAAAATTGTGTGAATCTCAATTGTGAACAAACATAATTTGAATATTATTTCTTGATGAATCATATAAAGATTAATGAAAGATCAGCAGTTAGAATATCAAAAGAAAGCAAAGTTTCTTTTTATTTTACACATATTCCAAATGAATATAAGATACATCAAAAATCATTTTAGCAAGAGTGTGAATGATGATACATTCATTCTTCTAGTCTCACTTGCACACTCTCAGAACGTCATTTACCTCATTGAAGAATGTGTCCTGATGTGTCCAGAATTCAATAACCTGTTGAAATTTAGGTAGCAGATCAATCCTAATGTTTCAAACAAAATTGACAACATCATAGTTTGTTTACCCACAAATTGTACACAATTGCAGTGCTGTCTCGAATATGAGTGTGGCTGTGGATGTCGAAAGAACCAAAACCTACACCTATATCTTTCTGAAAATGTCTTGGATTTCGTGAATTCCGAGAGCTTCGTGAGTGGAACTGCACTTTTGAGTGTTCCAGGAGTTTAGAACTCACTGAATTCGACTATTGCTGCCAAGGGATGACTAATTTTATTCAGAATATTGATTCGAATTTCAATTAGAACTGTTTGGGATAGGATATGGCTAAATTTATTGTATGTGACAAGGATAAAAATGGTTGTTCAACTATTGCTCCAATCAATATTGAATTTACTTTTCTTGTTGTTTTCTTTACATTATCAGCGTGTCAATCATATGCATTATGAAAAAAATAAAGCAGATAATGTCATTTTTGTTTTTTTTCGTTCTTGACAGAATGAGAAAAGTCTTTTTTCTTTAAAAAGAATCGGTGAAAAAGTAAACAATCAATGCGACATGGTATCCAACACATTGGTTTTCAAGTGATTCTTATGTAGACGAAAAACAAACGAAAGTTGGAAAGAATAACAATGGAATAAATGATGTTTTTAAATTGTTTCTCTTTCATTTGTTGTTGACAACCATATTTTCAATTGCAACTTGGTGGAATTTGTCCTTGAGTGTCAACGAAAAAAATAACACATCTACATTTGACGTCGTAGAAAAATCTAGAAAAAGAACAGACGACATCGAATATATAAATAGAAAAGGTAGTCTCTGTCCAAACAACAATCTATCATTGAAAATACTCAATTGTCAATCAAACGCCAAAAAATGGCATCAAAAATGAGTGAACGCCGAAGACAACGAATGGCTGAAAATTATCTGGTCATCTGGGTCGATGGTACTATTGACATGGCAAATGAAGATTGCCAGAACACACTCACGCAATTGCGCAGTGTTGTTAATGAAGTCAATCCATGCACCACGGCCGACCAATGTATCCAGAAACTCCAGGAAAACAATGAGGAGACATCATTTGTCATCTCCTCAGGTGCATTAGGACAACACCTGGTACCAGAAATTCATGGCATGCCAAAACTGGATGCCATATACATTTTTTGTGGCAACAAGCAACGTCACCAAGAATGGGCTAAAAATTGGCCCAAAATTAAAGGTGTGCATACATCAATCAAGCACATCTGTGAAAAATTGGCACTAGCTGTCAAACAATGTAATCAAGATCAGGTAACGGTCAGTATTATCGGTGTCAATGAAGGAGGTTCTAGCGAAAATCTCGATCAGCTAGAGCCTTCCTTCATGTATACACAAATATTCAAGGAAATACTCCTTGATATGGAACATGATCACCAAGCTATCAAAGACTTGGTTATTTTTTGTCAAGAAAAATACCAAGGCAATACCAAGGAACTCAAATTAATCAAGGAATTTGAACGTACTTATCATCCAACATTGGCCTTATGGTGGTATACACGCCAATGTTTTACATACAAAATGCTCAATCGGGCATTACGAACACTCGATGGTGATATTATCATCCGAATGGGATTTTATCTATGTGATGTTCATCGACAAATTGAAAGTTTACACACCAAGCAAGTTAGTCAATATCATGGTAAGATATTTCTTGTTTATCGCGGGCAGGGATTATCAAAAGTAGATCACGAAAAACTCGTCAAAAGCAAAGGTGGACTCATTTCATTCAATAATTTTTTATCCACCAGTGTAGATCGTGATATTTCCCTCGGCTTCGCCAGAGATGCCTTAGGAACAGAAGGAATGGTTGGCGTTCTCTTTCAAATGTCCATCGATCCCATGGTCTCATCGACTCCTTTTGCCTCCATCAAGGAGGTTAGTGATTTCGCACAAGAAGAGGAAATTCTCTTCTCGATGCACACTGTCTTTCGAATTGGTGAGGTTCGAAAAATTGATAAGAAAAGTCCACTTTATGAAGTGGATCTTAAACTTACGTCGGATGACGACCAACAACTTCGTCAATTAACCAATCGTATACGAGAAGAATCTTCAGGTGGCACTGGATGGTATCGACTGGGTCCATTGCTGCTCAAAATTGGTCAATTCAACAAGGCCGAAGAATTGTATATGGCACTACTGGAACAGGCTTCCAACGACAGTGATAAAGCATATATCTATCATATGCTTGGAATGATGAAAAATGACAAAGGGCAATATACAGAAGCAGCTTCATTTTATGAAATGTCTCTCAAAATTAAACGAAAAACTCTTCCAGAAGATCATCCTTCATTGGGTCCTACCTACAACAACATCGGTCAAGTGTATAACAACATGGGTGACTACTCGAAAGCACTTGAATTCTACGAAAAATCACATAAAATCTACGAAAAAGCTCTGCCTCCGAATCATCCCAATTTGGCTACTTCCTATACTTGCATCGGTCAAGTGTATAACAACATGGGTGACTACTCGAAAGCACTTGACTTTTACGAAAAATCACTTAAAATCTACGAAAAAGCTCTGCCTCCGAATCATCCTTCATTGGCTACTTCATACAACAACATCGGTCAAGTGTATAACAACATGGGTGACTACTCGAAAGCACTTGAATTTTACGAAAAATCACATAAAATTTACGAAAAAGCTCTGCCTTCGAATCATCCCGATTTGGCTACTTCCTACAACAACATCGGTCAAGTGTATAACTACATGGGTGATTACTCGAGAGCACTTGAATTTTACGAAAAGAATCTCGAAATCAGGAAAAAAGCTCTGCCTCCGAATCATCCCCATTTGGCTACTTCCTACAACAACATCGGTCAAGTGTATCACCACATGGGTGACTACTCGAAAGCACTTGAATATTCTAAAAAAAACTTGGAAATTACAAAACAAGTTCTGCCTGAGAATCATCCAGATTTGGCTTTTCCATACAACTGGTTCGGAAAGATTTATCGCAGTATGAAAGATTATCCAAAAGCACTTGAGAATTTCGAAAAATGTCTCACAATATGGAAAAAAGGCTTACCTGAAAATCATCCATATCTAGCTCTAACATACAGTAATATTGGTGATGTTCATCGATTAATGGGTAGTTATGAAAAGGCACTTGCATTTCATCAAAAAGCATTAAATATTCAAGAAAATGTTCAATGTAGTCCTCTTCAGGTTGCAACGACATATATAAATTTAGGTGAAACTTATCGTGAAATGAAAGATTATTCAAAAGCATTGACATATTTCGAAAAAGGATTAGAAATACGTGAAAAGAAATTATCAAAAAATCATCCTGATTTAGCTGTTGTATATCATAATATGGCAAAATTATATTTGGCTACACGAAAATATAGTATGGCAATGAACAATATTCAACAAGCAGTTGAAATAGCTCAAGAAAAATTACCTTCAACTCATCCTCATCTTTTGGAATATAAAGAAACATTTGAAAAAATTCGAAAGAAAATGTAATTCATTATTTTTTTTTTCATTTACTTGCTCAATAAATTGGTTTTGATTCTTTTTGACTTCCTGACTTTTCTAGGCTCATCTTCACGCGTACGCGCGCGCGCGACTAGGGAGAGGCCCTATAGGTATGAAACGGGTACACACAGAGCGGACCACGCCGGACTGGTAGGGCAATGTACATAGGTGTACCGTACATAATGACGGCAGGGACCTACGTACATTAAAGGCCTTCCCGAGCACTACACTGCTTTCGCCATTCCATGACGAATAGAATCTCTCTCTGGATCAGGTTACGAAGCCACCTGATAAGGCTGTGATATAAATTGGTATCTATCTTCTAACATAAATAACATAGACTTAGCATAATAATAATAGTATACACTATATGTGTACAACAACGAAGAAAAAAATTATTTCATCCGAAATACATCATCTATATCTCATTCTAACATTATCTCAATGTAAGTATTATTATGAAAATTTAATTTAGAATTGTTCTTTCAAGAAAATAAAAAAAAAAGTTTTTTTTTATCTTTCAACTATTCATTTATTTGTTCAAGTCTTTCTCAAGATAAATAAGATAATTTTTGAAGCAACATACTCAATCTTGTTATTGATATAAATCAATAATAAATCATATTTTTTTTTAACATTCTCATGTTTTTTATAATTTCATATAATTCATAAAAACAAACAGATGAATTTTAAAATCATCATAAAATAAATTTATATCATAAATCAATATATCCTAACATATATTATCATTGAAATCAAAAACATTGTAAAAAAATATGAATCATAATATAACATCATTGAATGAATGAATGAATTTCATTATAAATTAATACATTGTAAAATAATGAATTTAAATAACATCATTCAATAAATTTCATTCTAAAATAATACATTTTAATATAACATGATTCAATAAATATCATTGTAAATTAATGAATTTTAACATAATATCATATAATAAATTTCATTGTAAATTAATACATTTTAATACATCATAAACTGATAAATTTCATTGTAAAATAATGTATCTTTATATAATATCATTCAATGAATATTATCGTAAATTAATGAATTTTAACAGAACATCATACAATAAATCTCATTGTAATTTAATACTTTTTTATACAATATCATTCAATGAATATTATGGTAAACCAATGCATTGTAACGTAACATCATATAATAAATTTCACTACAAAATTGATACATTTTAATGCGTCGTAAATTGTATACATTTCATTGTAAAATAATGCATTTTTAAATAATATCATTCAATAAATATCATTGTAAATAATGAATTTAACAGCATATAATAAATTTCATTGTAAATTAATATATTTTTGTGCAATATCATTCAATAAATATTATGGTAAATTCATGCATTTTAACATAACATTATACAATAAATTTCATTGTAATTTAATACAATATAATGCATCATAAACTTACATATTTCATTTAAAAATAATGCATCTTTATATACTATCATTCAATAAATATCATTGCCAGTAATAAATTTAACAACATATAATAAATTTCATTGTAAATTAATACATCTTAATATAATATGATTCAATGAATATCATTGTAAATAAATGAATTTTAACACAATATCATAGAATAAGTTTCATTGTAAATTAATACATTTTAATACGTCATAAACTGATAAATTTCATTGTAAAATAATGCCTCTTTATATAATATCATTCAATGAATATTATCGTAAATTAATGAATTTTAACAGAACATCATACAATAAATCTCATTGTAATTTAATACATTTTTATGTAATATCATTCAATGAATATTATGGTAAACCAATGCATTGTAACGTAACATCATATAATAAATTTCACTATAAATTGATACATTTTAATGCATCGTAAATCGTATACATTTCATTGTAAAATAATACATTTTTAAATAATATCATTCAATAAATATCATTGTAAATAATGAATTTAACAGCATACAATAAATTTCATTGTAAATTAATATATTTTTGTGCAATATCATTCAATAAATATTATGGTAAATTCATGCATTTTAACATAACATTATACAATAAATTTCATTGTAATTTAATACAATATAATGTATCAGAAACTTACATATTTCATTTAAAAATAATGCATCTTTATATAATACCATTCAATAAATATCATTGCAAGTAATGAATTTAACAACATATAATAAATTTCATTGTAAATTAATACATCTTAATATAATATGATTCAATGAATATCATTGTAAATCAAAACATTTTAATCCATTATGAAATTGATAAAATTTCATTGTAATATAATGCATTTATTGAATTGTACAGAAATGAATTTTAATAACACCCACCCCTAGATTTCTTTCTAAAAAAAAATGCATCATTATATAATATGGATCAATAAATATCATCGGAAATTAATGTATTTTAATTCTTTGCGTCCCAAATTATTTCTGCTGAACACTGACACGTCCAGATAAAAACCAACATACTCGCATACGGATTCACGTGCGCACACCTATACACCCATATCTACAAACTCGACACCCACCACATCCACATCGTTGAGCATTCTTTATTGCTACATTTCAGTAAATTACATAATAATTATTAAACATGTATAGATTTCTTTTTCCTACTATAGAATTCAAAGGTTTAACATAACATTATGTAACAAATTTCATTATAAATGTATACATTTTCATACATTATAGACTCATACGTAGCATTGTAAATAATTATAAATTGATAACTGTATGTCATTCATGAAAAATCATAATGTAAAATAATATTAATTATTGTAAGTAATATAAAAAATTGTAAACCGTAAAAATAAATCATGTGAGTGTCATGTTTTATCTTTACTGAGCATGCTCATGATTTGTTCGATCGAATCGTATGAGAATACTGGTGAAAGTGTGTTTCATATATATATGTGTTTTTAAACATACATTGCCAATTAAAGACATTCTATTGATGTTGATATCAATTTGACGAACGATAATTGACGATGATGTGCACATTCGAATGTAATTGATTTGATTAATCATCACATGATTAATTGAAATGATGAGACACGAATTAATTTCATCGTTTTTCATGTGCATGGATGTGAATACTTGTCCTTTGTTCATATACAGTCCTTCATAGACAATACATATTCTTTTCTTTCTTTTTTTTTGGATCAGAAGAAATTTCTATTCATCATCATCATCATCATCATCGAAAAAACAAAAGCAGGGTGCGGGTGTGGGTGTGAATGAAGAACATAGACACACCCACCAACTTGTGTTGCTTTGTTTTTTTTTGACGAATTTCCTTATATTTTTTGTTCCTAATACAAACAATTGAATGTCAATTATTATTAGTATAAAATGAGTTTTACTTATTTAGAACTCGACAACAAGATTTCTATGATCAATATTCATCATCATACAGTGATTCACATTACTGGCATGAAAATAATTCAAATTCATATGATATTTATGGTTCAACACTGGTGGAAATTCCTCAATTTCAACATCCATCTCATACACTTTTACAACAAAATGGTTTTACTCAACAAGTTTATCTTAAATATAAACAAGAATGTCTTGATGGTAAAAAAAAAACGTTGATTGTAGAGAAAAAAAGATTATTAGTTCAGTACATATTTACAATATTTCGAGAGGAACAAGCTACTGGTAAAAAAGAAGATTGAAATTATGTTGCATTGAACGTATAAAAAACGAGTCTTTTAATGACTAAAGAAAAGTCAACATATCTAGAAACAACAGCGAAAACTACTCTCCGGTAAAAATCAGAGTCGAGAAAGACTTATATTCTTATTTAAATAGCCAATAGAGAATATGTCTGTTGCTATAATTTTCAAAGAAAAACAAAGATTTTACTCTTTTATGGAGTTTTTTCAATAAATACTATCATTCTTGTCTACATGATAAATTTGAAAAGCAATAAAATAATCGTCAATGATTAAAAACACTAAGTTTCACTAATCGCCAAACTTTATTCTTTCATAGAAAATATTTATAATCTAAAGTTATGTTGATTTACAAATAAGATACATTTTGTTTTCTGTAAAGATCTAATTTCTAGAAAGCGTTAAACTTGGTCCTGGTCAATCAATGGAAATGGATACACTCTATCGTTTTTAGTCATTTTTCTTATGAAAAATAATAAGAAAAAAATTGAATATTATTATTTATGTACAGATATGGTGTTGAATGTCTATTTCGATTTTATACATATGATCTAGAAAAAGATTTTCGTCAACATGTATTTGAAGATTTTCAACATGAAACTCTTTGTAATCATGAAGCTGGTAATAAAATAGATTACACAAAAACAAAAAAAAGAAAAGTGTCAATAACAAAAATAATTTTTCTATTTAGATCAATTATATGGTTTAGAAAAATTCTGGGCATTTTTAAAATATTCTCGACAGAAACCAAAAATCAATCCAAAACTTGAAATTTTAAAAACTATAAAAATCTTGAAGATTTTCGTGTTGATGGTGCATCATTTCCACAACAACTTTTTCCAACAAAATCAAATTATAGTAATTGAAAAACATTGTTTTTTTTTCTATTATATAAATAATTTCTTTATAGACTGTTCTAGCATCCGAAGCAATTCAAATTCATTAAAACCCAATGGTGAACAATATCTGAACGGTGCTAAACTTTATACACGTTTTGTTTTTCTTTTATTTTGTCTAAAATAAAAAACGGTGCTCACATTTTTTCAAGTGGATTTCGATTTATTTAAAAGTATGCATGTATTTTATTTTTTGCTTTCAAAGTTTATTGTTATTTAATCTTTTTCTATGTATATATTACATTGGTTTGTTATTGTAATAGATAGATAGATTAAATAGTGATGCATTTTCTTTTTCTATCGATAGAGATATGAAAAATTTTCATATGGTTTCGTTTTGTTTCTGAAACTATTTGCTAATAAATTCATCTCGTTTATTTAATAATATTGATAAGATATCGAGATAATATTTTATTTCGATAGAAGAATTTAGTGTTTTAGGAAGAATTGATATTGGTTTAGATATTGGTGGTGGTGTGATTAATTCTATACTTTATAGTGGTAAATATGAAAAGATTAAAAAAAAACTTGTTTTCTTTAAATATAAATATATTCTAGTTGATCGTAGTCATCGAGCTGTTATTTTTGATCGTTTTCAAGGTGTTAAGCTAGATGTTATTGAAGAAAGAACTCATTTTATGATTTCATGGCTTCATAGACCAATTATATTTGATATTCGTACACGACCACGATCTGTTCCATCAATAACAGAAATAAAAGGTATAAAAGCTGGAAGAAAACAGTCAACTTCAGGAGAGGGGTGAACATGAGGAAAATGTAAGCTCGCGAAAAAAAGAAGGTAAATACGATGTCTGTTGAAACATCAATGAATGTATATGGCTGAAGTGTCTTAAAAAATGTTGCGGCCATCGATGACGACTCAACTGATCGGTTTACACCTCTACACTTTCATCATTCACCAATCTTAGGATACTTCATAAAACTTAAAACGGGAAGTCTCCGTTATTTTTTCTTCGTATAAATGAAATATGCATAAATTACATTTTATTATTTTTATTTTAGATTTACAAACAATTAATATAACATTACGTATTCTTTATCGACCAAGAGCTGAACTTTTACCAAAAATTTTTTGCAAATTTGGGTTTAGATTATGAAGAACGTGTTTTATCATCGATTATTAATGAAGTTTTAAAATCTGTTGTACTAAGTCTCAATTTGATGCTATTGAATTGATTACACAACGTACACTTATTTCTCAACGTATTAGTGAATTATTAATAGAACGTGCTGCTCAATTTGGTTTATTACTTGATGATATTTCAATTGTAAGATACAACAAAAAAGAGTCTCGAGTTGCTTATATTGTTTTTTTCTTTAAATCAGACACATTTAAGTTTTAGACCTGAATTTACAAGTGCTGTTGAATTAAAACAAGTTGCACAACAAGATGTTGAAAAACAACGATTTTTAGTCGAAAAAGTAAATGAATAAGAATAAAATTTGTATGATTTTTTTTGATAAAAAAGAACCAAGCTGAACAAAGTCGTCAAGCAAATGTTATGGCAGCAGAAGATGATGTTCGTGCAGCTGATTTGATTGGCAAAGCTTTAGATGAAGCTGGTGATGGTAAATTTTCGAATATCTTTTATTATTTTGTCTTGCTTTATTTTAATATTCATGTTAGGTTTGATCGAACTTCGACGAATTGAAGCCGCTGAAGGTATTGCAAATCAATTATCAAAATCAAGAAATATCGTCTATTTACCACATGGTCCTCAAATGTTACTTAACATTACTAGTGCTATGCAATAAAAATATTGTTTTTTGTTTTCATAGTAAACTAATGAGATTGATTTAGGAAAATAAAAAGAACATATAAGAGTTTTTTTTGTATGTGTGTGTGTGCATTTATAAACTATTGAAAATACTAAAGCATTGTATTGTCCTGTTTTTGTTCGATTAAAGAAGAAGAAGATTAGATCAACAATTCTCTAGATGTTATTAAAAATTCGAGTACGATTGAAATGATGAATTTCGATAATCTCTTTCGATGTTTTATATTAACTCAATCATTTGTACATGGTTGGGGAAATCCATTTCATTTACAAGAAACTTTCACCTATCGGCGTGAAAAAATTGGTGTAAGAGATGAGTGTTTAGAAATTGTACCAGCTGAAAATATACAAGAAAATACGGTTGAAATAATTAAACAAGAAATAAAAGGTAATCAAAATTATATAAATGCTCGATTTCGTTCACCACTTGCTCATTATTTACCACATTTAGTAAGAAATTAAAATCATTTTAATCATTTAATTAATATTATCTTTTTTTTTGTTTTTGATATATTTATCTGAATAGATTCCACCTCAAGTAGCTACAGCTCATTTTCAACTTGTTTTACCATGTGATCGTCGTTTTGGTATTGATTCAATTTCAATAGGAATTTGTTGTGCTGGAACAGGTGATCATGGTTTTAGTCGACGAAGGTTATTTACTGCAGTCCCGTTAATTAATCAATATCCTATAGGTTCAATTCTTCTTGAAAATCCATATTATGGTTTAAGAAAACCACCAGATCAATCCCATTCATCATTATTATATGTTACCAATTTATATATCATGGGTGAAGTACTTGTTTTAGAAACACTTATGCTACTTCATTGATGTCAAAAAATGAAATTAACACCAGCTATTCTACATGGTTTTTCTCTTGGTGGATATATGGCTTCATTAGCATTTACAAAGTAAGATTCAATTTTATTATTTGATATATTTAATGCATGGATATACAGTATCTATCATAATTTCAAATAATGATTCAAGTAGAGCAAACCATATTGCAAAAAGAATATAAATTAAAAACATTGATTATTTGATTCCCTAAGTTATGATTTTTTTAGACAACCCAAAAGCCTAATTTCTCAGTATCTAGTACTTGAACTCTCTAGGACGGTTTTTTATTGAGTAAAAGTTGAATGATTTTGGTAGCTATTGTGTATATATTTATATTGTAGATGGTCTGATCCACCTTGTCGACAATTCTACGAAAATAAAGCCTCTCAAACATTTTATGATTATTCACGTTCAGTTCAATCAAATATATCTAATGCTATGTTTATTGCTTGTACACATGATGGTTATGTGATGGTATTCTACATATGAATGATGTATGGCCTGATATTCATATTCGATATATTCCTCATGGACATGCTAGTGCATTTTTATTTAATCAATCAGGTTTTCATCATGCTGCTGCTGAAATGTTATAACGACAAGAACCAAATGTAAAACTAAAAAAAACATCTAATCATATCACCAATTTCTGTTACTACACCTAAAAATTCGTGAAGATATATATTTTTTTCATATAGATATTTTCTCGAAAAGTATCAAATATTTCCTAGTTTTGGTGTTGTGATTTGAATAATAACTCAGAGAAAAGAAAACTTTTGATCAAATATGAACTAGATAACATATTAATCGTTTTGTTTTTTAAATATAATTAGTATGACTCTAGTAAAAACATGAGCAAACATTTTTTTTTCCTATTTATCAGCAAATAGATATTGAGAGAACTTCTCCAACTGATATCCTCTGTTTGAGCTCATAAGTAGGACTCATCGTCATGATGAAAACATTAAACATGTTCATGTTCTTAAGCCTTTCATGATTGTTCTATTAAATTTTCAGCATATTGCAGGATGTTAGCAAAAAAAATTGCAATAACGAGTCTCCATTTGAAACTTTCTCCCAATAACAGATCTCATAACAATTATTACATTCTAAAAGTTTTAGCTCAAACGAATGGATCCAAGTCAATCAATCAGACAGCGAGATCAATCACAGATCCTTGCACGTTCATACAAGATCGTACAATTCGATTTCACTATATTGTTTGAATCTTTTATAATAACCCATACAGGTTAGAGTTCTCTTCTTTATAAATTATCATACCATCCATACGCATACATAGCCAACATTTAAATTTCTGGTAGCATAACTGGATACAGATTTATCTATATACCTTTACTCAGAATTGGAACTGGTCTTTATCAGTTCTCTTTCTTTTCGCAGACGTGACCGAGAAGGAAAAGAACAGCGTGTGCATTTATATGATCATATCCTTAATATCAAATAAAACTTAGTTATTACTTGAAAAAATAGTTTGTGTTAACAACAGAAGAATTACTTGGATTTTGTATTATAAAAATAACTTTATACAAAAAAAAAGAACTATTCTTTTGCTTGATTCATTTCTAACTTCATGCATAACGGGTAACCCATAATAAATGGCTACACTTCGCATTACATATTTTAATCTCTAAATACGTTTTATTAATAATACTGATGAGTGGCTAGTGGTTCGTCGACGCCCCTCCGGAGCACCACTCATGGCTAGCAGCTCCATTGTGTGGCTCTACAAGCAAGGTGATATGTTTTGTGTATGACAGTGATATTCAACCAGGTATTCACAATTCTATCTCTTGAGTTTCAACAAAGAAATATCTACTTTTTCATCAACGCCCAGGCTATGTTACTACAAACTTGTTAAATGATATTTTCTGTCTAATGTTCTTTGAAAATGTTTTAGTCCTGTAGAAAAATTGTTTCTCAGAACTGATTTATAGAAAAACTTTTCGGTTGTTCGCCAGTTTTCACCAGTATTCCAATCGATCGAATCCCACCGAGTGACAATTTGTTTACAAGGTACATATTTCAAACTACTAGCGTAGCCATCACCATAACAATCATAGGGTTTGGCCCTGAAATTTCCTACGTCTAGATGGCTTGCACTAGAAATTGTCTCCATCAGCTTCATCAGGTGATAGGACTGCAAGCTTTTAACGAGACAGTAGGCTGATTTTCACCAGTACTCGCTTGCTTATACCACTACTACATACCTTACATCAACTAATTTCGATATGGTGTCCATTCAGCGAAAAACATTTAAGCGAACAAATTTTCAGCGAAAAAAAACGCGAAATGCATACTAGCCAAAGTACATTTCGCCTTCACTCGCACTCTGCACCCCACGCTTACTTTGCACCCCCACCCTCACTCTACAGCCTCAATCCGCACGCTCACTTTCACTTTACACCTTTACCCTCAGCTTGAAAAACCTTTCGCTCATTTTTTTCGCTGTCTTGTATTCGCTTACTTTCTTCGCTGAAAAGCATTTCGCTGGTTTGCCACTTCTCCACTGATTTCCAGTCGCGTAACAGCAATTGAGGACCCATCCGTACCCTTATAATGAAGTACTTGAGAACCTATGGGTACCTCGGTAATATAGCCCTTAACGTTTTCTATGCGATGTTTTATTGATCTTTGACCTTTGATCTGCACAAAGAAACAAACACATTTTAGTTTTTTTCTTATGACCCTCCTCCAGTCGAGGGAAAAACCAAGCCGATTCACGTTTCGCTTATTGCATAACTAGTTTAGTTACCTTAGTTACTATTAAATAGATTTAATGCGACTTGACTAACATCAGTTATATTACTTTGCCTTAATTAACGTTAAATAGCCACGAGACATCGATCCAGTTGAAAAAAAGAGAGGAGAAACTTTTGGACTGTTACAAGACAGACTTAATATTTCATTGTGACACTCCTAGTCTTGAAACATTTGATTACAGGACAGCCCCACAACAGCCACCTCTGATTGATTGAACTTCCCGACTGAAAAAATCTGATTGAACAAAAACGGAATAGCAGAAACATTTCACTGGCTGAACTCTCAGCTTGATAAAAATCTGATTGGACAAGAGTTGAAGAGTGAAAACATCTGATTGGCTGAACTTCTTGTCCCAGAAAACATTATTGGCCGGGAGCTAGTCAGCTAAAAAATCTTACTGGGTGGAATTCCAGCTTAAAAGAATCTGATTGGTCGAATACCCGATATCGAAAACCCTTGATTGGCTGAGCTTCCAGCCTGAAAGAATCTGATTGGTTCGGGACACCCAATATCGAAAAACCATGATTGGCTGGAGTTTCAGCTTGAAAAAGTCTGATTGATCGAAAGTCCAGTATCGAAAACACTTGACTGCCCGGAATTCCAGCTTGAAAAACCTGATTGCAGATTGCGATTCAATTTCTCAGTGATATGCAAGGCAGAGCCCGCACATATACTCCTCATTCGATACAGCGTCCCCGATAGTCCTAGGATCGGCCCGAACATGACTGGCACCTGTCCTGATCCTGATAATAAGGAAAAGTCCTTCTAAAATCTGATTGACCCATTTTCCAATCAATCATATAGCAAGAATCTATTTCTCAGTGATATGTAAGGCGGAGCACCCACATATACCGTTCATTCGATAGAGCGTCTCCGATAACCCTAGGATCGACTCCAACATGACTAGCAGTTGTCCTCATATTAAGAGAGAAAAGTGCTCCTGAAATCTGATTGGTCCATTTTTCGACCAATCAGACACCGAAGAAGCATACGAACTTCCATTGTGAAGACTCAGTCCTTTTTCGACAAAGAAAAACGTCTACCATTGCATTTTTAAGGCGATGTTTTTTTTGACCTTTGATCTTTAACCCAGAGAAACAAACAGACAAACGCATTTTGTGTTTTTTTCGTATGACCCTCTCTTCAATCAAGGGAACAACAATTTAGTCAGGATTTCTTTGGTTACTATACGTGCATTCTTTTTTCTTCATAGTATTTTTTCTCGTTAGTAGGTTTATCTATGTTTGTTGCAAATGTAAATTTCAAAGTGTAAAATTTTCCTTAGACAATTGTTCATAGATTACTCATCCATAATTGTGGTTATTCTACTGACTTATCTTTAGAATTATATTTTTTGTTGTGTTTCTATATTTGTCGAGCAATTCCTGGAATTTTTGTTTTGAATTTATTGGATTTATTCAAATAAGTGGATTTATCTATTGATAGCATACGTATGAAACATAAATAACTGTAGCAAAATAGAGTGAGAGAGTGATGACGAATCTTCTGTCACTCTCAACTAGACACTTTCTCTCAATCTGGTTTTTTTCTGTTTAATGAGAAAATTTGTAACAAAACTTATAGAAAAATATTTAAAAAGAAAAAGGATGTTTTTCTTCGATTGTAAATCTTGTTTATTGTATTAAAATAAAATTATCTTTGAATTAAAATAAATATAAAAAAAATAGTGATGAAATCTTGAATATGACAATAAAATATAATGAGTTTATCCGTATAGTATATTCATTGCATAATATTGTTTGTATTGATAGTTTTAATCCAATTGTGGTAGAGTGACATTAGCACCTATTGTAGAAGCTAAATTGCCCATAGCCACAAGCATAAAGAATTGTTGTAGTTTGACAGCTTCATCCAGAGTTAAAACATGTGGTACTTCTTGTATAGATTGTTTGTTACTTTCCCAAAGACCACCTAGATAACTTTTTGATGTTTGTATTAATAATAAATCAGGTGCTAATTGCCAATCAGCATTGATATCAACAATGAAAAATGAAGCAGTATTGGTTAAACTATCACCATTTTTGAACAATGTTAAAGAACGATAATTTCCATTATTTGATGGCGAATAAAGATAATCAATACGATCCCAAGCAAAATCATCTGAATATGTTAAACCAAGCATAAAACTACCTTTTGATGGTAAATTATAATCGATAATAACTGCATTTATAAAATCTGTTGCTTTATCAGCTGGTATATCAATTGCTTTTAAAACTGTTGATTTCTGAGAAAAATAAGTAAAACCAAATCGTACAATACGTGTAATTGTAGTAGAACTACTTGATTTGAATGCAGTTACAACATCTTTCCAAGCATTGGCAGCAGCTGAAACGGCCTTGGATAAAGCCAAAATTTTCTCTGAAAGAACTCGCGGTTGAGAAGCATAAATATTGTTGTCATTCAGTTCTGATGGTGAGATTGTTTTAGGATTAAAATATGATAACATTCGATTTTTTTGCGGAATAATTGTACTAGCAGCAACAAAACGTAAAATATTTAATGCAATTTTCGTTGTTTTTAATTGCCATGGTGTAATCAGTGTTAAAAGATCTTCATTTAAAAATTCACCATAATCATTTAATATTGAAGTACGTACAACTTTTAGCTTTTTATTATAATCAACAGTATAATCAGATTCATTAGCATTTGTATTATTTGATAATAGTCTATTAATTAATTGTTGAGAAGTAATGTTTATAAAAAGAAAATTAATTGAATATGTTGAATTATCAACAGTTTGACCAATTAACCAAACATATTTAATAGCTACACTCGGGTTATAGACATCAGTTGAACTAGTAAACAAATTTTCATATGAGAATCTTCCTGTTTTTAATTGTTCCATAAATAATGCATTGTCATAGAGATCTTCAAATTCATAATCTTTTGCCAATGTTGATAGAACTAAACGAAGATTTTGACTTGCTAATTTCGTCATTTTTAATGATTGACTTGATAATTTTAATGATGTAATATGAGATTGTAATGTTGACAGAATTGAATCATTATATGATGTTAATATTTCAGCTTTGACAACATTACTTGAGAGAAATTTATCAATAGCTTCAGTCAAAGATATAATCTGATTATTAGAATTATATTGAAATAAATCACGTTTTTTAATTGCTTTATTCAATGTTTGTTGATTAAACCAAGCAAATTGATCGGCTTTCATTTTTTGATTGATAATATTCAATTCATCTGGTGTAATACCACGTGGTGAAGTTTTCGTTTCATCGTGACAACAACAATCACTTGTCCATAAACATTTTGGACATGTATGACAGTCCCGTACAGTATAAGACGTGTATTGTTGTTTGATAGCTGCATTTGAATTAATCGTTACATAAGAAACTGAAACTGGCGAATTTGGATCACTTGGAGAATCAAGTTTCTGTGTAACAACTAATAACGTTGATAATGAAGCACCAGTTTGAGTATCAAATACAAATGCTTGAGCTGTATAAGATCCTTCTGTTGCAGCAATCACTAATAAATTGACACTTTGAACAGCTTTTTCACGAAATTGATCTGGAATTGACCAACTAGCCATAGCAGTAGCAAGTGTTCCAGTTCCAACATTAGCCTGACCAACTGATCCAGTTGTTGATACTGGATCCATATAATTAGCCCAATTTGCTAAAATAAATAATGTATTATGAAATCATAGAAAATAAGCAAGTTTAAATTGTACCAGGTTCTGCTACATTTAATATGTTTACTGCTTGTCTTAGAGCAGCAGATGTATCGAGCGATCTACCATTTATTCGAATCACTGACGAAGCAGAGAATGCGATGCATGGTATCAACATATTACAAAATATCAATAAAATAGCCGTTCGATTCATATTTTTGATCTAAAGAAACGTATAAATATTTTATATAAAATAATATTTGAGATGATATTCTGTCTTAAGAATATGTTCTGATAATAACATGATGATTTTCAATTGATTTAAAAATAAATAAAACTAGATCTCTTTCGATCAATTTGCACTGTTGACTGAAAAATGGAAATCGGAATATTCATTATGATTAATTAGCAATTTTTCAAATAGCATCAATAAATCGGGATAAATGAGTTTTTGTTTCTCGAACAATGTCACAATAAGTATTTATTTAGAAAATAAATTATTTTCTTTCTTATTTATATTAATCGAATTAATCTCTATATTATTCAGAATAATCAAAAAAAAAATCAATTTCAACAGGAACTATTATTTAAAAAAATAAATTATATTCATTTTTTTATTTCAATTAATTGCATCAACGCTTTCATTGTTTTCGTCATTTATAAAAGTTTTCGGTAGTTCTAATTATCACATTAGATTCGTCAGAAAATCTTTTAAATCGCTTGAGAATCTGTGTCGTCATTTTCGGCTGTTTTTCAAGCAGTTCCTCTAGAATTCTTTACGGAAAGTTAACCAGAGTTGATCATTCGTTAATATAAAAAAAACTTTGTTGATCAACAGCGATAAAATCGTTAATTTTTACGAAATTTCGATAACATGAGCTTGGTTTTTCGACAATTTAAATCCGAAAAAAGATGATTTAATCGATACGTGATTAACTGCTGATTTGAACAATATGAAAAAATCTTTCTTAATTATATCAAAACCTTACCGAAGATAGGGATTTAGATAAAAGTAATTTTTTTCATGTCAGTCGAGGACTTACCTTGTATAATGCTCTTTATAGTTGCCAGTCAGTATAACTGTCGATAGTATTTATATAAGAACAGTTTAATCAACGATACACCTTTTGACGTAATCAAATTCAATAAACATACTTTATTTCAAGTACCTTGTTGGTACTTCCCTTGGTTTTTTTTCATAATGACTCATTCTCTCCTACGTCATTTTTCTACTAAAAGATGGATTTGTATTACTTCCATTCAAGAATATTTACTCTATAAAATAGTTTTTCTCTAGTTGACTCATGATGACTGATTTTCTTGCGTAAAAAAAAAAGTAAAAATAAACTAAAATGAATGTCTATGCAAAACTGCCTACATCATAATTATTTAGCTAATGACGATTTGAATGTGAATAAGTAGAGCACACTGGGGGGCAGAACGTGAATGGAATGTGGATGTGGAGAATTAGTTCTTTTTTGCCGATTTCAACGTCGTCGAATGAAGTTTTCACCTACTCTGTGTTTCACCAATTGGAGTGTAGGAGGCTAAAAATTTTGGCAGAAAGTCCTCTTTCTGCAAGAAATTTAGCAGAAATAGAGTGGATTTTTCTGTGAGAAACTTGGTAGAAACAACATCGACCTTTTGTGAGAAATTTGCCAGAAATAGAGTCAACTTTCTCTGAGAAATTAGGCAGAAAGCATCTTTGGTTTAATTTTATTCCAGCAAATGCAGAAGCTTTCTGCTGAACTAAAGTTTGAAATTGTTGCAGAAAGTCTGAAATTTTGGAGGGGAGGAAGCTCCTCCCTGCTCCCCCCTCCCCCCTAATCGGGAACCCTGCTTACACCAGATGTAGTAACCAACTAAGATGGTAATCAATTGACTTCGTAGTAAACTTATTAATTATAATAAAATGTTAAATAGAGAACGAATTAAATTTGATCGGGTAGCTTTCGTTTATAGATTCATTCGGCGATAGTGAGATCGATGAAACATGGAGTCGGCAAAAATGGAAATTGCCGATGTAGATGTAGTTGTGCGCCTCCTCTTCAGCCACAGCTCACACCCACACATCCAAATTTGAACCTTATATTAATTGTTAAGTGACCTATTAACAATTATGTGATGCTTATCGCCCGATTTTTATTAATATAATTGATTATGTGAAACTACATAAGAATTTTTATAAATTAAGTCGTGTTAAAAGAATGGTATATCCATTGTTTGAGCCACTTAATCGAAACTTATCTTTGTAGAAATCGCTCAGAATTAAAAAAAAAGTATGACATAGAACTTTTCTGAACAGTTGAAATCATTTTTTAACTGGACTGTAGTGAACAGATCTACATGTAGACTTTGTTTATATGAACAAACTCTACATAGAAATCTTGTTCTTATAGCCAAAGTATACCTAATTCTACAAAAACGAAGTTTCATAGACTGTAGAGAAATAAAAATAAAACAATGTTTCATTTGGATTCAATAAGCATAGATGCACTTTTTTATCTCATAGATCGCGATCTATACGTACTTAAAACATTTTGCTTTATATTGAACATAGTTTTCAATATATTATAAAGAAGGTGTGCATTGTACACTCTACTTTTTTGAATAAAGTGTAGAGAAGCGTGTATTTTGGAAGCAGCAGATATTCTGTACATGTTGCTTTCGGTGTGTACAGTTGTCATTATAAACATTGCAGAACATTACAACCAAGTAACTTTGACTATCTCATTGTATTCGTATTGATTATGTACAATGGAGTATACCAGATAGATAGCTCAATTTTTTTCTAAAGATGGTTGAACACAACGTTTTTTTTTCGTGATCTCGAACGTGACTAAAAACTGTTAGTAACGCAGAACGCTAGTGAAAGGGGTTTTAAAATCATTTTAAAATTTTTGATAGTGTAAGGACAAAGGAATCAAACTCTAAGAAGTTCAGTATGTTTGCTAAAATCCTAAGTGATTCCTCATGAAGTTTTTACTTTTAAAGCTTATAGGAATTTTGGTGCATACAAACAGACTAAAATATTGATTAAAATCGTGATACACTGCAACTTTTTTATTGTTTTTCCATAGCACATGACTTTTTTAATGTTGAAACGAATGAGGAATATCTATTTTTTGTACACATTTACTTTATTTTAATGTATTACAACAACTTAAAATTTTCTACAATGTCGAAATATATTCTCTGTTAGTCATTTTATTTTTGTTATTAGCTATCTTTATACTCCAGAAAAAGCTTTGGACTGAGTCTTGTAGAGTTAAAAGTTTCGTTCTATTATCTGAATGTTTTTAAATAGCACATTTTCTGGTTGAAATATTTTTTAAGTTGCAAAATATTTGGCTAAAACGTTAAAAAGTTCCGAAAATGATACCGAAATCTAAAAGTCTAAAAAGTCAAGTATGATCCAATCAATAATAGATTTGCGCAAAATACGAAGTATTGAATAAACAACATTACACATGATTGTAATTTTCATATTCGAATCATTGAGAATCTATAACTTCGTATATTTGATTATATTTATTTATTAAAAATGAGACAGAATAGATTTTTTTTGACTGTTACTTTGTCTTACATTAAAATAATCCACTACGAAAGTATCTTATATTGTATGTACAACTCTTATGATTACTAATTTTAACATATGTTTATCATAGAATACGAATACTATTTTCTATCTATCAGTTGAGATAAAGAGAAAGAATACTCATACATCAATATATATATACGTAAATAAAAAGTTAACTGTGTTGTTTCATTGTGAACTCTTCGTCAGTTATTAATGAATTAATGAGTACGATGTTATTGTGCACATAATACACAAACCATGGAATAATATACTAATGAGAAAGTGATTGTAAGTCCTGATGGCTTTGAGATACGATTGAATCCGATAAAAACGGATTTAATTAAATCTATGAATATTCGGGTGACATACATTCAATCTAGTTAAGATTGAGATGAACAATTCCTATTGTTACTATATATTGATAAAATGGTAACACAATTAAAATAGAATATATGTTATTGGTATAAAACCATCTGTCCGCAGTTGATTCTATTGACAATTGTTAGATATTTGAGTAATTAAGAAAAGTTTCACTATCAACCTATGTAAATATGTTATCAATAGAATAATAAAAATAAATTAAGTTATCATATAGAGTCTGTTGGGGTAATTCTGATCAAAAATTAAAAATTTCA